GCTTGGACAGCGCTTAAATCGGTTAAATTGCGTTTTGAACAAAAAAAAGTCTGTCCTTTTGGCCTGAAAAATGCCGAAAATCCAGAAAAATTCCGACATTTCGAAAATCGACCAGGCGTCCCGACATCGCCTTTCCGAGAGCTTCCGATAGGATCCTCAATCGTAAAATCGGACAGGTCTGCGGCCCGGCTAGGGGGGGGGATTTTTTGGGACACCCTGTATATAGTTATGGATTCCAGGCAGTACAAATGACGACTCGATTTTGTGCGGAAATGACGGCCCATTAGCGCACTGAATTCGGATACCTTTTCCCTCTTGTGGCGTCCCCATCCCCTGGCCTAATGGATAGCATTCAGGCCTACAAAACGGGTCCGGGTTCGACCCCCGCCCGCGGCATGGTTTTTGCTTTTTGAGCCGCGAAAAGGTTGGGCATCCCTTTAACTTCGTAAGGTTACTTCTTGCCATCCCAAGACGGCAGTTTTTAGCTTTCCGGCCCTTTTAAAAGCTCGACACCTCAAAATGCAGGTTTCAGACCCCCGACCGTGGTTTTAGAATTACGTTTGTGTGCGTTTTTTTAAATGTCGCAACTTTTTTTGCGCCGAAATGTTGATGAATACCTTAACTGGCTAATCCCCACCATTGTCCCTAATATTTGCTAACCGCCCCAAACAGTCGTTCTCCCAAAGTATTGGTCTCAAATGCTTCACAAGGGACCACCCGCCCTGTCACTTCAGCCCATCTGGCTACAGTAGCTCGTCGCCCCCAGAGGAGAGAGGACAAACGCGTGGGGAGCAACACGCGCATCCGGGAAGCGAGGGCATCACCGTAGCGGTCACTACCCCCCTGGCTAGAGGAGGCCACCTGGGATGATAATGAAGAGTAAACAAGCCTCCAGGATTAATGGACCGATCGGCCAGCCGCCAGAGGGCAAAGACTCGAAAATTCGGTTGGAATGTTGAGCTTTTCAAAATTTAACGGAAGCGGAAAGAATGCGGTATCGAATTTGGCCAGGTAATAAGGCTAGAAAATTCGTTCGAAGCATCTGTATCAGAAGCAAAAATTTTTTTGAATTTGAGGAGGCTCCAACCGGTTACTAGATGCAAAAAACTGCTATTTGCGCATGAAAACTTGTAAAATTTGGCAAAACGGTATATTTTATTGCTGGTATCGATTACGTCATCAAATTCACATAAAATTCAGGGCTGAGTAGGTTCCTAAGTGCAAAAATGTGAAGTTTGCTTACCCCCGATTCCGCCCGGAATTGTGTGTTCGTAGGAAATTCGAGGCGTCTAGAAGCGAAATCGTCAGTTTCTGAATATTCCCGGTTCTAGAGATGATCCTGGAGCTGTTGTTCATTTGTCTGGCCGCCGTTCTGCCGTTCTATCCCTCTCATTCGATTTCTCTAGCTCTATGCCTTCCGCTCTCTCGCTCGTGCTCACACTCCTTACGCTCTCTCTCTCTCTCTCTCTCTCTCTCTCTCTCTCTCTCTCTCTCTCTCTCTCTCTCTCTCTCTCTTTCGATCGCTCTCTCTCTTGCTCTCTCTCTCTCCCCCCTCTTGCTCTCTCTCTCTCTCTCTCTCTCTCTCTCTCTCTCTCTCGCTCGCTCTCTCTGTCTCTGTCTCCTTCAACTCACTCGACAGGGTCCGACGAAGCTCGCCTCAACAAGCCGGGGAACAAGCATGGGACGGTGGGGGTGGTGTGGGGGATTGCTTGAACTCGCTGCCAGGTTTGCTTGAGCATCAACCTTCTGTCATCACCAAACTCAGTAGCCGATGGGTTGTGGCGATGGTTGGAAGTGGAGGTGGTGGTGGAAGTGCTGGTGATGGTCAGGAGCAGGAGCTGGAGGTGCAAAAATGACATTGAAAAAGCTGGGAACGAAGCTGTGGCTGTGCGACACGCAAGGGTTTCAACACTTTAAAGGGACTGAAAGGCAAAAAAACTGAAGATTTACATGAAAGGGGTCTCCTAAAAAATTTCTGCCGGTTTCAGTCCCCTTAAAGCGTAGTTTAGGGTAAAAACGGACTGTCGGTGTCCCGATTCGGTGGTGGTGACGGAAAAACCGGCTGGGGAGACGACTTCGGCACGTTGGTCCTGAAGAAATTATTTTTGCGTTTTTAGAATTAATCGCTTTTATCTCTTTCATAGTAAAAATTACCGGGCTAACCGCAACCACCTCAACCCCAACTTCCCGTTCAGCTACAGAGCTCTGCTCCGTCACATTTTCCGTCTCGCTTATCGAGCCGAAAGGCGCGATTTTAATCGGAGGCGCTGAAAAAAATATATGACAAGTCGTAAATGCTTTAATAAATAAAAACTCCAGAGTCTGGAATAAAAAGTCACAGATCTTCAGGTAAAATCAAAACTTGAATTTAACCAGTAGATGGTGAGTAAATGTTCATCTCCTACCTTTTTTGGTGAAAACTCGGCATAGTCCCTGTTGTTAAGATTATCAACCCCGAGCGGAGAAAGCCCGCTTCGCGGTTCCCGATCCAGCTATTCAAATGTGGGGAAGATGATCTTGGGCCGGGGATAGGCCGGAGGATCTCGGAAGGGAGTACCTTACAGTCAGTGTTACCCTTGCACTAATAAAAAGCATTTCCAAAAATCTTACCGAGTACGCCGGTCTGACCGTCGTCCTCGTCAAGGATTCAAACGGTTGGGTCAAGGCCTCGGCTTGTTGTGGCTGTGATCACGATAAGTCTTCTCGACTGATAGCCTCGACCTAAAGCGAAGGCTTTCGATCGGGAGAAAGACAATAAAACAAAATCGAAAAACGAGTTTGTACACAGTTGACCTCCTTGCAGACGTCGTTATTGCATTACGCATCAAACCAACGAAACGCGCAGAAATTCTTGCTCGAATTGCGTGCGCAGCGGCTCAACTCGCTTTTGATTACAGAAAACCCATAGTCCGCAACATAGCCTTTTAAAAACTGAGGCTTCGGTGGACGTCACTGACACCCTCGAAGGCTGGGAGGTAACTGACCTTTTCGGATGTAAGATCGTAAATTTCAGGATTTTCACTGGATCATTCTCAGAGATATTCTTACATGTCTTACTCCAAAGTTAATGATTTGTATTTTAAGTTTTAGAAAATAAGAAAATCATTGGTATTGTGATTTAGGCTAATCTGTTTGACATTCACCATCCATCATTTCATCTAAACAGCATTTTCAGACTTAATATATTCTCCTCCTAGATCTATTCATTGTTGTTGTATTACTGGTGATTTTTTGGTGATGATAAGAGACCCTTCTATGAGATTCGTTCTCGGCCTCAGATCAGTCCGGATTAACGAAGAATTTTTACACCTTTGTGATCGGCCTGACGAGGACTAAATCAGTTCCGTTGTAACTCTAACGAGCATTCTTTTGAGATGTAAGAAGTTCTCGCATTTTGTTTGCCTTCCAACACGATGTGGTTTATTCTTCCACCTTCCTAGCCCTCCCTTTCATATCACCAATGACTGTTGACTCTGTTTGGTGTAATTTTTGCAGCGTCCTGGGATATCAGAGGTTCTAACGTCCTTGCTCCCGATTACTATTTTTGCTTTTTGATCTGGATTCTATCCCAAGAATTCCAAGATTTTGTGTATTTTTATAGGACAGGAAGCAGTTTTGGCTAACTGGCATTTACATTAACTGTACTTTTTCTGCTCCTCCTTTCTCAAAATTTTGGGAAGGTTTAGAAATATAACTGATCTCCAGCGCATCATTCATTTCTCCTATCAACCCCAATAAATCCAAGTGTTGCCTGCATTTGAACTCATCCTCCTTTGCTGATTCCACCACACCCATCAAGAAATTTCAAAATTTTGGGGTGATTTTTACTGACATTTCTGATTCACTGATGAATACCCAAAAGTACGTCGGATCTTTTGGATACAAAGAGATCTTTGGACCAAGACAGCTAAAATCGTTGACTTTCAGGGTTCCTAGTTGTGTTGCAAATATTCTGACGCTGCTTCACTGGCCTGGGCGAAATGGGGAAGGGGAGGGCTTGTGAAGGTATGGCGGAAAATCTGCAAATGTATGCAAAAACTAAAAATGCTATAACTTTGTTAGTCCGGGGTATCTGCTGCCGAAAGTTACACCAATCGATTTGTCTCGTCGAGCTCTATAAGTGTGCAAATTTTCAAATCCGATCCGATTCCGAGCTGAGACCATCCCTTGTTAGTGGGGACGGCCTTCCGGTGCAGCCTCCACCCCCCACCACCACCGATCCCTCCGGCTTCACCACCGCCTAACTGGCCACCACCAACCGGTCCGCAAACATATCAGAGGCACGCCGCTCGCGCCCCCAGAAGAGAGAGAGAGAGAGAGAGAGAGAGAGAAGACAGAAATACACACATGTCCCACTTCACCACGGACCCCTCCATCACAATCACATCAAAACCGGATGATGGAAAGCGTGGGATTAGCCTGCAAAAAGGGTCCTGAGTGGAATTAACGAAATTGGCAGGCATTTTACGCTGATTTGGATACGTTAGGTATGGAGTACACTGCGGACCTTCTGTGAATTTCCTACGGTACGTACGTTACCTCTTACATACGTTACGCTCGCACAGGACGATCATCACCATAAAAGTTACGCCTACGCCAAAGTCGACAGTTACGGACGCACGCCCAATTAAGACAATGCTTTTTAGGACGAGACCAGCTCCGAAAAACCCGCTACAATGCGCCAAAAATTAACAAAAAATGGAAAATATCGATAAAATGATGCTTAAGCCTGTTTTCCTAAAAACCGGTTCCTAAAACGCGGATTAAAGAACAGAAATCAGAATCAATTAAGAAAAAGCACTAAAAAGAAATACCCAACAACAAAATTCTGTCCGATATTTTATTAAATTCACATGGAAATCAGGATCAGATCTTTCCCCGAAAAACGATGCACACAACGACATCCCCGGTCGCAAAAAAAAGGTTAAGAGTTAGGTACAAAAAAAAATCACAGAGCTCTGTCACAGAAAAAAAAACTAATACATCGAGGGTTAGCTTCAAATTTCGGGCACAATCTGCGGTGCGATGAGCTCGTTGACGCGCGTGCGGACTCGGCTCGCGTATTCCGCGTCGATGCCGGGCCCGTAGCGCTCGTACTGCAAAAAACATCCGTAAATGCGACAAAAAACAATGATACCTGAATAATCGGGTCGAGCATCAGCGCCTCGCGCAGACGGCGCAACGACGCGGCGCAGCCCAGCGCGCTGACGCGCACACCACCGAATTCTACAAAAAAAAGGTAATGGATGGGGTATTAAGGATTTAATACAGAGGATAGAGCGCTATGTACAACGACCATCACGTACTCTGAGCACGAGAACCGGCAACGCCCCTCAGCAGCAAATCCCCGGGGCCGAGCTTTTCTCGATAAGCTCTCTCAATGTTGGCCAGCTGGGGCCCGACTTCTAAAAAAAGCCAGAGTATAGGTAGGCCATAAGACTGATCTTTGTCAGAAAATGCCGAATTTTCATAATGCCGAATTTTTACAATACCGAATTTTCATAATGCCGAATTGCGATATTCTAATCTAACGGAAATTTTTTGGATTTTCGCCTACAAAATAACCAAATTTTGCATCAAATAATCTGCCGAGTTGCAATTCTGTATTCGAAAAACTCGGCGTGTATGAAATTTGATATTATAAAAATTCGGTATCATGATTTCCGGCATTTAGCGAATTCGGCATTCTGGCGATAAATCAAACACAAAACCCACGCGGCAACTCGATGAGGAACGGGGTGTCTTCGTAGATGCGCTGGCCGCCAGGGCCCTGATGTCCCGCCTCGCCCATCAGCGACTCGAACTGCCCGGAGAAGGCGAGGCTGTAGAAGGCGCGGGCGGCGGTCTGCAACGATGAATTCAAGGAGTTTAGTGAAAAGCAACCTCATGTAATGGTATCCATTCGTCGCTGATCATAATCGAGTTCAGCCCAAATTCGTCAAACGCGAGCATCTTGCGGTTGCGGAATTTGCGACGGCGAGTTGCTGAACAAAAAAATCATTTTTTATAAAAATGCATAACCTTGAAGAAATCGATCAATATCGTGCCCCATTCCCTCGGTTGCAGTTCGCTGTTCTCTTCCTGAATTATTAGGTTTAATAATTTGGTCTACGATAATTTTGAGCTAATCTAAAATTTATTGTTCAAAATTTAAAGTTCGTTAGCCTCAATATAAAAAGGAAAATTAAGCCGTATGCATACCAAAATATTGCGCTGATTCTCAGCATACAAACATCCGGTGGCGTACTTGATGAAGAGGCACGACATGTGGATTTCCTAAAGGAAAAATAAAAGTTTCACAAGAACAAGATTTACGCGAAAATACTCCACATTCGAACGGCGTGCCCACTCGGACACAAAGTAGCACAGATCGAGGAGGCCTAGAAAAAAATGAAAACCATGTAAAAAAGCAAGGCACCTTTGACACGCTTGAAAATGGCGATAATGGCCGGGTAGGGCTTGATCTTGCGGTAGAATGCGGTGACGCTTTCCGGGTGCGTTTGGGCGTAGCTTTTCACGTGGTTGCATAGTTTCTAGACATAGTAAAAACGTCGTCAAAACCGAAGTTAACAAAACACACCACGTTGAACTCCTTGGCCTGCGTTTCCTCATACACCGCTTCCATGTCATGCCGGAAACGGTCCTTCTTCAGGGCGACGAGCAGGTCCCAGACCAGCCACGGGAACGAGAGGTACAACGTGCGGTCACCGCGCTGCTGCCTTGCGTATTCTAAAATCGGGACGTTCTCGAGTACCCCGAAAAACCTACCGTATGCCACCTTGTAGTAGGCGGTTGCTTTTTGGAGCATTGCGACCGTCGGTTGTTTGACTTGCCTAGAAGCAATAATTTAGCAAAAAAAAACAGAACTGACCTGTGCAACGGATGAGCTTCGTTGGCCCAGTGCTCTTCGTACGGCTCGGTCAGCATCTCGTAGTCGCCGATGTGATGGCCCTAAAATTTAATAACAAATCGATTTTAATGCACGATTTTGAAAATCGATTTTACCAAAAGTATTTTATCAAAAATCGCATTTTCGAAATGCTGTTTTCGAAAACAACTTTTTCGACAAGTAGAATTTCGAAAAACTGGAGACCAGAAAGTGAGAAATAGCAATTCAAATTTTTTGAAACTCTGGTTTATTATTTAGTTTTATTTAGTTTATTTAATTAATTTTAAATAATAGTTTATTTAATTAATTTAATAAATTTAATTATTTATTTATTTTCCTATAAAAATGATGCCAGCCAATAATCTAGCAAAATCCCCCACAAGTTCCGGGTCGATTTCGAAGAACTTGCGCCGGAATGCCGTCCACAGCTGGGTGATCTGAAAAGCCTTTTGAGCGCAAAATTGGATCTGTTACCGTAGACTCGATGGTTTGGCTGGTCGTAAAATAGGTGACTTGATCACCGTCACTTTCGGCCGCCTTGTTGCGCATCGCCATCACGCAGCCGGTGATGATCTCGGCGGCCGACGCGACGCCGTAATGGTCGAGGACGCGCTAAAAAAATCAGGGTTCAGAAGCAAACCAATTCTAACTATCTTACGCCAAGTAAATGCATCAAAAAAAACCTAGTTGAACGTCTAGAAAAACCCCAACATTTTTTACAATTAAAACGTTTAATCTTTAGAAAGATGGTCGAACCTTAATCCCCTGGGACCACTCAATAAGCCCGGCTTCCGCTTCTTCTTTCATATTTTCCCATCCAGGGTGGTTGAAAGCCGGATCGAGCTCGATGTTCACCTAAAAACATGTTATACAATGCCGAATCGAAAAGTCTCACCTCGTTATCCCCCTCCAGCGAGTCCTCAACAATCTTCTGAATCTCCTTGATACCTCTAAAAAAACGTGGAATCTCAGCGTCCAAAAATCCCAAATTACCGGTAAACCATTCCGACGGTTCGTCGGCAACGATAGGCCGGGTCAAAGTCGCGGTGCATAAAATCCGGGGCTCGCGTGTATTTAGTGCCGGGGCATGGAGTGAAAAGTGTATCCGTCTGGCTCTCACTGAAATCGAAAATTTCGATGGATTTTGACAATAAGTTTTAGGGTAGCAAGTAAAAACCCGAGTGACTTTCAAAATGTCGAAATTCTATAATGACGAAATTTCATCCGAAAAGTCAGATTGTCAACATTTAGGTAAAAGCTACCGGAAAAGCTGCGAAAGAAATTTCGATACGCAGAATTTAGACCTTATGAAACTTCGAAATGATGATAGAAAATCGAAAACCCCTACTCCTTCTCCCAATCGGGCGTCAATTCCGGGGCCGGCACGCCAGTTTTCGGGAAGTCGACGGCCATAGAGTGGAAGCGGGCCAGCTTTTCGAGATCTGCAAAATTGATAAAATTTTTGTTCTTTCTGCCAAAATCCTCTCCAAAATCCCGAAAAAACCTGCTTTTGCTCTAACTAATTTCTATTACATGATTTTGAGCTGAAATTAAAGCTCAGAGTAGATTTTTGGAGCCTGATCGAACCACGTATCTACAATGGCAGAAAAAAAAAGTGAAAATGTCGAAAACTAGTATTTCACCCTTTTGTAACGCTTTTTTTGGTTTTTTGCTGTAACTTTTTATATTACAGTAATTTCAGTTGTCCTAAAAGAACTATTCTTTCGATGCTCTATCGAGGCGTCAAAAACCCGTAAAAATTGCGAAATATCGAGAATTATGGTACTTTTGCCAAAAATTTCCGAAAGCCTCTTCCTACCGGGCTGAACAGTCCGTAGTGATCCGACTGGATGAGGTGGGCGATCGAGACGGTGCCGATCGTGTCGTGCGTCATGTAGTGGATCACGTAGTCACCATTTTATGACGCTAAAAGCGCACAAAATCAATAACTAGCTACGGAGGCTTACGAAGGCATCCGGCTGCAGCTCGGCGGTAGTTTCGCATTGCTGCTTCGGGTATCGCATTGCTTGCTCGTTGTGGTCAAACATGAGATCGGGGTCCCAGATCACCGAATATTCATCACCGTCGAGATCGGGCCTGAGAAACAATTTGCTAGTGAGAGCGGGGTAAAAACAAACCAGCCATCTCATCGGGGTGCGGACGGGGGGCCATTCCGAGGGGAATACAATGACGTCGACGAGATGGCGAAGTTCGGGAATGTCGACAGCCTGCCAAAAAAAACATAGCATCGCCATTTTTCGACAACAGTTTTTTCAATGTTCTAAATTGAAAACAGGACATCCAAAAAAAGGTTCTTGAGCATTAGTGGGGGAGGGCGGCGGGGTGAATTTTTCCTATGAAGCCATAAATGCCCAACGCAATAGCAAGTATTTTATTAGTCGTATTATTAAAATTTAACCAGATTTCGAGTGGAAAAAGCAAGCAAAAGGTAGACATTTTTTAGTTGAAATGTTGGTACAAAAATTTATACGTTTTGCGTTTGGAAATAGCAAAAAAAAACAGTTTACTAACGGTCCGTCTATTTATATTATTTTATATAAAAAAATATTTTCTCCACCCTCCTCCCCCTCCCCCGATAATGCGAAAGAACCAGACCAAAACAATTCCCAAAAAATCACCTCAAAAAGCCGCGCGTCTCCGTAGATGATCGACGGGTTCTTGGTGATCAGCACTTTTCCTAAAAAACAACAAGCTTTAAAATCTAACCAAAAAAATACCTGTGTGAATGACTTTGCTACTAACGGCGCTCTGAATCTTTGAGCCTTTCTTGGAGTATTGGAAGAAGACCTAAAAGCAAAAGTGACGTGAAAATTGAAAAACACTACTTGACCATACTGAAGCAACCCCGTCTCGTCGACAACACCGAACATCGAGCGCCCCAGATCCATCGGGATCTCAATTTGCTCCTTGCCGAGAACGCGCATTAATGAGTGGTTGACGGTGGCTTTGATCAGGGAGCGGAAGAAGGGCTCTGAAGATAGGTGCATGCCGATCGTTTGGCTCATCTGCTCGAGGTGCACCCGGTTGGGGAGGTCCTGGAAGCGGAAATTTTTGTTGCTTCGGTGCTTACGACCGAAATTTTGCCTATAATCTCAGATATGCTTAGTAAGAAAATATTACGCACCAGATGGTTACAGTCGCTTCGCGACTGCAACCATCTGGCCTCCGGGCTACCCTACATGTCCCACTCCACCACATCCTTTCCCACCTCCATCAATACCCCCCATGGCTGAAATCTCGTTAAAAAACTACCTAAATACCTTCCTGATGGCTTCAGATACCCCCCATGGCTGAAATCCCCGTCAAAAACTACCTAAATACCTTCCGCAAGGCTTGAAATACTTTAAACAATTTAAATAATTAATTAACATAATTAAAAAGTATTAAAAAGTATTAAAGTAACTTAAAAAGCGATCTGGGCGCGCGAAGGGGGCCTGGCGAAGAGGGGCGAGGGGAAAGGGGGCGTGGCCTCCCGGGAGAGGGGCCCCCAATCGGTTTATTAAGGCACCACTTTCAAAGTTAATTTCAATAATTTAAAATAAAACTTTTTCATAATTTTTTTATCAGTTTGGGGGTTTCTGACCACGCTCTATCCGAATCCGAAGAGAGCTAAGCTCTAGCTCCTTTCCCCTTCGAGTTGAATTCGGCTTCACACGGACGGACGGACGGACAGACGGAGACCACAGCAAAATTATTATAGTTGATTTTAATAGTGTATCCAATAAAATTCAACCTATCCTTCAAGGGAAAAAGCGGAAACGCGGAAATTTAATTCGCTCAAAACCTTGGAAAAATTTTGAAACCTCAAATTTTCGGTGAAAGCCGGACATTGCTGCTCGAAAAAAAAACAATATTCAGCAATTTATTTGTTTAAATTTGTAAGTTTTTTACGTTAAGGAAATACCAGCGTTGAATTGCTGCCCGCATTTATTTTAGGGAAACCCAGGTGGAAACGTTGCCCCACCCGTTAACGCGAAAGCTCCGAATCATCTTGCTTTCTTCCAAACTCCGAAGTATACGATAAATCACGAACCGACAGCCGATTCCTCGCTTCTCTTTCTTCGCACAGAGCATTCGCGCACCGAACAGCGTGGTGGTCAAGCAGCGTCAGAATGCGGCCCTGCACCCGGTCGTGCACTTGCTGGCCTTGATGTTCAGCTACCTAGAACAATAACAAAAATCCGCCCAGCTATATTTCCATACTTGGCACAAAATGTTGATGAATGGACGGTTGAGGGAGACGGGCGACGGCCCGCCGAACTTGACCACCTCGAACTTCATGGACTCGCCGCTCTGGTGTTTGCGCGGGGCTTCGAATCTGGAAAATAAGATGGTTTCAGTACAATAGAATTTCTCACTTTTTCTGGGATTCTCTGAAGACGATGTTGACCTCCTTGGCTCGCTTTTTGCCTTTGGGGTCGGCTTTTGAGGACGGCTAAAAAATTAAGAATTAAATTCCAAAAATACCGCCAAATCGATCGGATTCAAGAAGTTCCGGCCCCGGTCCATCATCGGGTCCATCACCAGGGGATGCCCTTGAAGCCGCGGTAGCGAAACTAAAAGTTATGTCGTTTTTAGAGGGCCAAAAATCGCACCTGGACACAAGATGGTGTGTGATCTTTGTAGCGGTAGTCGCTCATCGAGGCGATCTGAATGTACTAAATAATTCCGTTTGATCTCATTCGGTTATTTTATTACTGTTTATTACTTTCTTTTACCTAATTGAATTTCGATTCAACAATTTATATCTTGATCAATTGATTGATTAATTTTATTAGTTAATTAAACTTTGAAAAGCCTACCTTTTTCAGGTAGCTCTCCGAAATACGGCCAACCCCGTCGCTGAACGTGTACGGCTCCTCGGCCTTTAGATTTGCCGCTTCTTCCGTGGTTAGCCTAGAAAAAATAGATCATTTTAACTTTTAACTCAAGCTTAAGTCAATTTAACCTTAACTTTTAAAACAAATTTTCTATAAAACAAATAAAATAAACACAAATGATCTTGAATTTAACCAGTTTTTAATAATAAAAACCCCACTTTTTAACGTCCACATAGTCCGAGCCGCCGAAATAGTCGGCTTCTTCCTCATACTGCTTGCGCGGCAGTTCGATTGGCGATTCCTAGGCCGAAAAACTCACTATAGAAGCTTTTTAAACCTTGCTCTGCGTGAAGCACTGCCCCATTCGCGCCACCATTTTCGCCACCGAGTTCAGCTTGTTGAACTGGCCGAGCGAGGTGCGGATTTTACTGAAATTTCGGGGGTTTTTTTTATGAAATTTTTCCAACTTTGCATCTCGATCGGAGCCCATGTAGAAGTAGGCGCCCTGATCGCGGAGCTGCGAGTTGGATTGGCCCAGGAACACGAATTTTTGGCCTGAAAGAGTTTTTTTTACATCTTTGAATAGCCCTCCAACCTCCAACGACCGGTCCGTGCTCCAGAAAAGTCCCAACGCGTGCCCGAATGCCCTCGTGGCGCGCGATGGCACGCAAGAGACCGCCGTTGTCTTCCCTGGAAATTGATGACACCGTTATCTGTTATAAATATACCTTATTTTGGGGTATTTTAGTAGTTCTGATCGCTAGGAAGTTATAAACTTCTCCCGAAAAATTCAAACTTTTGGACCGCGTTGGAATCTTTTTCTGACGCGAAAAGTCACAAATTTCGAAAAATCCTATCAATTGTTGAACTTTCGGAATCCTAAAGAGCAGCAAAACTCTATAAAAATCCTAGACGAGGTACGGTGTTCGAGAAGTTGCCGCAACGCTAATCGGGAAGTTCCTTACTTATTCGACACAAATTTACGTACCGAAAAACGACGCGGATCATCTTCTCCGCGTCCGGTCCGCCAAATTCGCGCAGCACGCGGTTGCCCATTTGCACCTCGGCGGGGATGTAGAGCATGCGAGTGGGCGTGATGACAATCTAAAAATTCCTAAATGGGAAGTTCCAAAAAATTGCACCTTTCGAACTTTCACATATCCCTCACGCTGCATCGCATCAGTGAGCTCACGCCGCTCCCTGGGGTGAACAAGCTAAAAAAAACCAATAAATTTTCGAGTCTTCAATTTGCAAATGGTACAATTCGGATAAGCGGGGACCGAAATTTTTTCCGCTTAAGCCTATATTTTTTTATATAAATAGTGGAAGTGTTTCTAAATTTGTTTAATAACTATTCCTAAACATAAAAACTTTACAAAACTTAATTAAAAATTTTATTTTAGGTCGAAAAATCAATTTTTTCGGCCCAAAAATGACCAAATTTTCGACTTTTTCAAGCGTTTTTTTAACTTTTTAAAAAGTCTTTCCTATTCAAATAGGCTTAAATTTTGCTAAAAACAATGTGAAAACACTTTATATTTGATTACTATCCCCACCAGGGCCGACAAAAAAAAAGTTGGTCCCCCGCTTATCCGAATTGTACCTACCAAATACTCCAGCGCTTCGGCGAGCGTGCGATTCGGGTGCAAATCCTCCACACAGTCCACAAGGTCCTCCAGCGCGCGCTCTACTTTCTGAAAACCCAAATTTAATAAATTTCCGAGCCGCTTCACCTCCGGGCCGCGCAGATAATTGAGGGCGAGGCTCGTCCAAAATCCCCGTGCTCTTGCTTCAATTGGGGACGAAGAAGGCGGTCCTAAAGTAGGTCCTAAGCAAAGTTTCTTTCAAAAGCTAAACTTGTTTTCAAAAAAACCAGCTTCTAAACGCTCCCCACAAAAAGTACCTTCCAGCCGGGGCCCCGCGTGACATGACGGCTTCAACAGCCATTTCAGGCGGAACAGCCTCATTTCATCGCTGCCGGTTCCCTTCGATTCTTCGAGCATCTGAATTACACAACGGTTTTGAAGAGCCCAACAAAATATACCTTTTCGATGAGCAAGTTTTCGCCACTATCGAACAACGGCGTGTATGCCATAATTTTTGGATCTCTAAAATAAGGTGATGAAGAAGGATTTCATTAATTAATCTAATTTCGGCGGAATGAACGCTCTAGGAAGAAAAGCGGTTTAGGAAATCGCAACCCGAGATCGTCCCTGTAGGCGACCAGCTCGTATTGTTATGGTCCCGAGTGTGTAGAAAATCGGCATGCAGCCAATCTGGCTCATTCGTCCGAGCAGTTAATTTTTTAGCGTATCGTCGCTCATCTTGTCTTGCTAAATGTTTGGTAAAGCTTGCAAAATCTAAAAACCAAACCGAAATCTCGACGCTAAAAATCGGCGACTCGCAGAGTGTGGTCGATTTGGAGCTCTCGCCCTCGGTGCGTCCGCGGAAGATGTAGCGCGTGCGCTCACCATCGCCTTGTCGACCGGCCTGTAAATTTATTGATTTAATCGATTTCATATTCAGTCAGAACTCATTCATTCCAGTCTAGGTATCTATCAGAAAGCTCTCGACGAGCTGATTTCGATTTTCGAATTCCAGAATTTTATTACATTTTACTAACCCCGCTTATTTCAGGGAATGAACTGAGTTTCTGATCCTCATCCGATGAAGGGTTTCTTGCAAAGCACAATTTATCCATTTTTAAACCTGTTCTGGCAGCCCAACGACAGTTTTTTGAAAGGCATTTGCGAAAATCCAGCTTGAGCCGATTTAATTAAATTTTTGGTAAGAGTCTGAAAACCCCAGCCGGCACCAACTTTTGTATCTCGGCCTCCCTTTGTGCTAGCGAGCTCTAAAGTATACCAAAATGTTCGCCGTAGGCTAATTAAATAAGACTACATTGCAGTTCAGTCGAAAAAGTAGCGAAATAAAATAAGGAAGGTAGAAAAGTTGAAAAGTCGGCTCCCCGGGGGTTTCCTAGACTTGAGCCAAATTTTTGGCAAAAAATGCCATTTTGCATGAAAGATGCCGGAAATATAGCGACAACACCAGGAATTTTCGAAAATCGGAAAGAACTGATCACTTCAGCTTGACGGGAGC